GCTCTAGAGAATGAGTAGTAATATCCCCAACTTCTTTTAATGTAATTCAATGTAACCAGGGAGGTCTCATTATCCAGATAAAATGTCTAATTCTGTTTCGAATCCTGCTAAGTTCCTGGCTTCTTCTATGACATCTTGTGGCAATGAGTTCCACCAGTTAATTAGGTGCACATAAAAACATTCATAAAGCTCAATCTGTCTGACTGAAAAAAAATCTGATTTACAACCAACATTTTGGCTGGGTACATTTCCAAATCTGAAATTTGTACAACCATAAAACTAGGGAAGTTTCTGTAACTACAGCAACCTTAGAAGTATTTTTTTTAATTCATTCATGTGCACTGAAATTCAGCTCCTAAAGAGAAAAAAACCATTTCTCCCAGCAGACCCAGGCTCTTCAATACATGAAACTATTCTTGGCCACCACCAATTACCTCTGAAGCTCTTTCTACCATAACTGCGCTGCAAACAGAATTTTCATCATATCAATATTGACAATGAAAATTTGCTAAATGGTTCCTACTTCTGCCATTATTGCTCTTGACAGTGTTTTACCGAATTAAGTGTTTGCACAGGTTCATATTATATACAAGATATGAATCGACAGCACACTGGTGCTGTTGCTAATTCCAAGGCTGGCATTAGCAGCAGAGGTGGGGACAACTTTCAAAGACCTGGTCCAGATCCAAATGATCCCAAAGCGTGTGGTTGTTTGGATGGAAGACTGTTAACTAAAGACGGGCCAAAACCACAATGAAATGTTCTCTGTGTAAAATCCAATTGCGATAGTCCTTCTGGAAACCAGCTTTTGAGAGGATGAAAAGTGCCTAGTGCGAAGTATTAGCCTGTCATTATCATTAAATGTGATGAGGCAATCAGATGTTAGGGTTGGCATTACCATTGAATGACGAATTAAAGTACTCTCCATAATACAGACTGGAAATAACCTAAAGGCATACAGAACTTCTTAATATAGCCAGCATTTCCTGAAGACATTTATTAGGGCAATTCTTAAATATGATGTTTTCTGTCTTCCCATAGAACAACTGGGAATTGGATATTAGTGTAATAAGACCTAAGTGTCCATAGCCTTGAACATTAATAATAGTAGCAGCACTCATGATCTAAAATCATATTAAAAACACAGGATTTGCCATGCTGGATCAGACCTTTGTTACATCAAGTCTATCTTATACCAATAAGAGTGGACAGTACCTAATGCTTCAAAAGGGTGGTGCAGAGGTAAAACACTTAGTGTTTCTAGCCAATTAAAAGACCCTGCACAGGGTGGGAAAATTCTCTCCTGAATCCTATGGCAATGAGCTTCTACTCTGGAGACCTTACTCTATAAGATGCTGAGTACACTCCACTCTCACTGACATGAGCTCAATTAACCACAAGTTTGGTCTTAAAATTATCCTGGTTTTTGTTTGTTTTTTTGTTTGTTTTTAAAGCCAGCTACAGCCTGAGACTCTTGGGTATTGTCTGTCTTCAAAGTGGTTCTTCATAATCTCCATTTGCAAAATCCTGGCATACAGTACATGGGAGATTCATTTAAGGGCAACAAGAAACTAAAGCCTCTTAGGGAACTAATCCTGCTGCCGCCAATGTAATGGGAAAATTCCAGTTGATTTCAATGGGAATAGAACCAAGTTTTTACAGGAGTCATTTGCCCCAAATGTCATTGAATACCAGCCACACCGCATGATCCACATTGCTCTGGATAGCTCTGTCTTCAGACCTCCTTGCCTCTTGCCAAGATAAAAATCCTAGCTTCACACAGCTTTTGTTTAAGCATCTTCTGCAGCGTTTTGGAGTTGATGGGAAGAGGTCAAATTTGCCATGATTCATCTGGAGGAATTTCTGCAGTGAGTCTAGCAAGTCAGTGAAGCAATAGCACCTGCTGGCCATAAATGTAATCCTCCCAGCAACCTAGCATATGGTCTCAGAGACTCTGTCCATTTTGACAGACACGCTTTGGTGTCTGGAGGATTCTTAAACTCATGGATTTTCAAAGTGAGCCAGTGATGGTCAGATTTATGAACAAAAGTACATTCACCTCTATAGTACCTTCCATCCAAGGCTTTCAAAGCTCTTTACAGATTTTAATTAAGCCACACATCTCTGTGAGGTACTTTACTTATTACTCTCAATGTTTCAGAGATCTTTAAACTGAGGTAGAGAGTTTAAGCGATCTACCTAAGGCCACGCAAGTGGCAGAGAACCAGGAGTCCTGACTCCCAATGCATTGCTCTAAACACTAGACCACAGCAACCTTCTCAAGTGACAGCCAAACTTTGAATATAGCTGGGCTTGCAATAATAGACCAGGGTCTCTGCTCCCTTTGAAACACTGGTGCAGAACAGGAGCTGGGGATGCCCAAGTCATCCCCACATTCTGGCCCCAGCAAAGTGGATGGGGAGAGGCTGTAGTCAGAGTGCACTATGCTCTGACTGTGCTCAGCTAGTGGACAGCTCCTTTGGAACTGATACCAGCTGGCACAGTTTAGAGCCATCCCCAGGCTGCTCTACACTCTGCAGGAATCAGGGCTGGGGTAAAACTGGCTATCTGCAAGGCCTCAGACATAGCAGGGAGTTTTAGCGCAAGACTGCTGTATTCCATCCTAGCTCCCCACCCTGCAAATCCACACACATGCAAATCTTATTCACAAGGAGCAGTCCCACTAAACCCAGACCCCACGAGGGGCAGGTTCGAGACCTCATTCTTCACCTCATCCATTACACACCAAATTTTTTTCAAAACTCAGTTTGATTTTGTTCATTAATTTTACTGCAGGTTTCTAAAGCAGTCTCAATCCCTGCTGATTATCTCTTCAGTGAAACTAATTAGGTGTTCACTTCAAAAAAAATCATATTTCTTTGGTGATAACTTCCTCCAGCTTCTCAAAGCTGTGATCATCTTCCAATGTTGATTGTTCCTGCTTAACATTCAGGACTCAGGAGATATCCCAACAATACAAACTGGCTAGCTAGCTACTTAGATGGCCCTCCCCACAATAATATCTGAACATCTCACAATCATGAATAGATTTTATCCTCACAACAGCCAAGAGATAGTGTAGTATTACCCCATTACCCATGGAGACATGAGATAGATTACATGACTTGCCCAAAGTCACTCAGGAAATGTCTCCAAGCTGAGAATCAAACCAAGGTCTCCAGAATCCCTATTCTTTAGGCTATGCTGGAACATTTATGAACAGTCAAAGCCAACAACAGCCTCTGAACTCTTGGAGTTCTCTTGGTGTTAAATCCTTAGCCATCAGTTCCATGGCCCCACAGTGCTTGATTTCGGCAACACCTGTGAAACAAGACATCCCTATCTGTATGTCCAACTATAGGAAACTCAGCCATCTCCACCTGAAGAATGAAATAACGCAGCTGCATTTTCCTTCGGCACGTTTGCAATGAACGCTAGTATCTAAGCTTACTGAGTGCACTTGCGTATTACTATACTGGGGAGCTGTCAAGAAAAGAGTAGCCCATCCTTTAGAGCAGGTTAGCTAAATCTGGAGTGTATAAGCTATTTTGCCTAGGATTTTTTAAATAGGCTCTTTTAGGGGGAGGGATAGCTCAGTGGTTTGAGCATTGGCCTGCTAAACCCAGGGTTGTGAGCTCAATCCTTGAGGGGGCCATTTAGGGATCTGGGGCAAAAATCAGTACTTGGTCCTGCTAGTGAAGGCAGGGGGCTGGACTGGACTCGACTCACTGACCTTTCAAGGTCCCTTCCAGTTCTAGGAGATAGGGTATCTCCAATAATTTAATTTAATAGATTTTTGTATGTCAGAATACTACAAACCTCATTGTGCATGTGAGTTATCCTGAATATTTAGGATAATACAACAAAAATTAAAACAAATTTCATCTCCCCATTCTTAATAAAAAGAGAGCCTGAAGGACAAGGTAATTAGTATGCAATGTTGCTTAACAGAAAAAAATGTCAAATGAAGATGCCATTTAACAGCCCTCCACATTCTGTCAGAAGATATTAACAAGAAAGGGATAGCTCTCCTGTGAAATCAGACACTGTAACAGAGAAAAAATAATGGGGTTGAACACTGCAAAATGAGTGTCCCTGAACACAAGCATTAAAACTGCTTCAGCAAGAATTTTAATAAAAGCAGTGGGGCTAATTACGTTGTCCCCAAAGTGTTCAAAAATAAAGGACACTGAGGATTTGCCCAGGACTTTACCAAGACAACAGCAAGGACCAGACAGACAAGCAGCAGTTTCAGGACTACCAAGTAGAACGAAGATGTCACTAGGATGGTTTCTATGGTGAGGCATCTGGATCCTGTATTCCTATCCCAAATGTAAAAGATCCAATACAGGCAGGAAAAAATGACAGCTAAATTTGAATCTCACTAGTACATCCACGCTTTATACCGTATTTAGAGAAAGATCTGGTCAAGTAGCTGTTCCTAGATTGCAGTAGCCAGGAACAGGTGCCAAGAGCCCAATAGTAGAAATATGGAATAGCCAAGAATGAAGAGGCCTCCCTGTTAATATTAGAACACTGAGGATACTTGATAAGACATGCAGGAAAAAACAGATGGTAGATACATCTTTAAAATAGTGCTGGACAGTGAAATGGAACAGGGGAGCACACTCCAAAGGCTGAGCATGGGAAAATGGGCTAAAAATAAAACTGTCTCTCATCAACATAATGTCTAAGGTAACATCCTGCAAACAGGTGCAGCACAAAAAGTTACTGTTGAATAGTCCAATTTCAAGCTGCAAAGCAAGATCTCTCTGATTAATTACAAGACTTGGACGAATCAGACAGGAGATAAACTAGCACATAAATACACTGCACTTGTAGCATAACTATAAGAAGATCCTCTGAGGAGCCCCCCCCCCATATTTTCCCACTTCACCACCACCCCCCACCACCCCCAGTGTTGTGTTGCCTCCATCAGCCTTCCAGACATAGAAAACTGGATGGGGCCTCCCTTCGGAGATCATCCATGCAGCTCCCCATTCAGCCAGAAGGAGTGCTGCAGAGCAACACAAAGTCCTTGCAGTCTCTTCTGGTTTAAGAAGCAGGAAACCAGAGCGGGAATCACTCTTGGTTCTTCTTCAGGTGATGGTCTCTATTGTATTCCACTGAACCAGTGTTCTCACATATACCAGAGCGGCATTACAAGGCCTCTAGGCTGTCCACATGGCTGTTTCATATCCAGAACAACCAACCTTCTCCTCATGGGACACAAAGCTGAAAGCAGAGGAAGAGAGAAGTTAACATATGATATTGTAACCGACTGGTGAGTGTGTGTTGCATGTCCTCTCTGAGCTTGTCAGACACACAGAAGAACATAAATTGTTGGGCAAAAGTCAACATGGTTTCTGTAAAGGGAAATCATGTCTTACTAATCTATTAGAGTTCTTTGAAGGGGTCACTAAACATGTGGACAAGGGGGATCCAGTGGACATAGTGTACTTAGATTTCCAGAAAGCCTTTGACAAGGTTCCTCACCAAAGGCTCTTACGTAAATTAAGTTGTCATGGGATAAGAGGGAAGATCCTTTCATGGATTGATAACTGGTTAAAAGACAGGGAACAAAGGGTAGGAATAAATGGTAAATTTTCAGAATGGAGAGGGGTAACTAGTGGTGGTCCCCAAGGGTCAGTCCTAGGACCAATCCTATTCAACTTATTCATAAATGATCTGGACAAAGGGGTAAACAGTGAGGTGGCAAAGTTTGCAGATGATACTAAACTGCTCAAGATAGTTAAGACCAAAGCAGACTGTAAAGAACTTCAAAAAGATCACACAAAACTAAGTGATTGGGCAACAAAATGGCAAATGAAATTTAATGTGGATAAATGTAAAGCAATGCACATTGGAAAAAATAACCCCAACTATACATACAATATGATGGGGGCTAATTTAGCTACAACTAATCAGGAAAGAGATCTTGGAGTCATTGTGAATAGTTCTCTGAAGACGTCCACGCAGTGTGCAGCGGCAGTCAAAAAAGCAAACAGGATGTTAGGCATCATTAAAAAAGGGAGAGAGAATAAGACGGAGAATATCTTATTGCCCTTATATAAATCCATGGTATGCCCACATCTTGAATACTGCATACAGATGTGGTCTCCTCATCTCAAAAAAGATATACTGGCATTAAAAAAGGTTCAGAGAAGGGCAACTAAAATGTTTAGGGGTTTGGAACGGGTTCCATATGAGGAGAGATTAAAGAGGCTAGGACTTTTCAGCTTGGAAAAAAGGAGACTAAGGGGGATATGATAGAGGTATATAAAATCATGAGTGGTGTGGAGAAAGTGAATAAGGAAAAGTTATTTACTTGTTCCCATAATATAATAACTAGAGGCCACCAAATGAAATTAATGGGCAGCAGGTTTAAAACAAATAAAAGGAAGTTCTTCTTCATACAGCGCACAGTCAACCTGTGGAACTCCTTGCCTGAGGAGGTTGTGAAGGCTAGGACTATAACAGGGTTTAAAAGAGAACTAGATACATTCATGGAGGTTAAGTCCATTAATGGCTATTAGCCAGGATGGGTAAGGAATGGTGTCCCTAGCCTCTGTTTGTCAGAGGGTGGAGATGGATGGCAGGAGAGAGATCACTTGATCATTACCTGTTAGGTTCATTCCCTCTGGGTCACCTGGCATTGGTCACTGTTGGTAGACAGGATACTGGGCTGGATGGACCTTTGGTCTGACTCAGTATGGCCATTCTTATGTTCTTAGAGGACAGGAAACTGTTACAGTCCCAGCTGGCTCTTTAGTTCAAGCTGTGTCAACTCATGCATTTAGCTCTGGAGGTCCCTGGTTCAATCGGTGGTATGCCGGCCAGCATGGCTGCTGTCATAATATTGCAAGCATTTAATTCCTTTAATTTGATTACTTACTGCCATGTACTAGAGCCAAAAACTAAAATAAACTTGAGCGCAAAGGCCCCCATACAGAAGCAGTCACTAGCAAAAGAAAAAGAGCAAAGGAAAACACAACCACAAAAGGGGAGATCTAATGAAATACAGAGGACAAAATAATCAAATAGGAGTTGAAAGGCCTAATGCCAAGCCTTGAAGAGAGCCATGGAGCAAATTCTGATGGAACACAGAACATGAGCAGTGGTCTGAAGATGAAAGTCAGCACAGCTGAGCAAAAGCCACTAAGCCGAACTCATCAGTCTTGGAAAGACAGAGAGGAAGAGGTGGAAACCCAAATACCTAGAGCCTACATTATGGACACTTCATTATCTAGACATCAGCAAGGCCTCAAATTGAATCCTTTGGCTCTTAGGCAGGGTGCAGATCACAAATGTTGGGCGTTACCAATTCCCATGGCCCTAGAGCAAAGATCAGCTGGGCCACTGAATTCTGCCAATGTTGCAGCTCTGGCTTAGTTTCAAAAGGAGCCCAATTAGGTGTGCATTACAATAATCTAGCCTGATGTTGACAAAGATGAGACATGTATATGAAATCTGGCATATCCTTCAATCAGGGTTATATTTTTGAGGTGGGCAGGGGGGAAACTTTACATTATCAATGAACCTAAAAACCCTACACCTCCAACTGCCAGCAGCAGGCGCTTATTTTATGTGGGCATCTTTGCAGTAAAACACACACAAAATAAATCCTGTTGACGTTTTACTCCTGGAGGAATTCTGCGCCACTGCGCATGCGCAGAATTTATGTCCTCTGAAAATTTCTTTGCTTCCCCACAGAAAAATGACTTTCTGAGGGGAAGCAGAGGGAAGCCACAAGAGCGGTCATGCAATCCTCCCCAGCAGTATGTTTCGGGTGCCCAGGGCAGCCACCAGAAAGGTAAATCACTGTGGGGCAGGAGGTGGGACTGGGGAAGACCCGGCTGGTGGCTCCTACCCTGCACCAGGCTCAGCTGCTGGTTCCGGCTGGGCTGGGGAGGACTGGACTTCCTCTTCCGCTGCACAGCATCCAGGGCTGGGTCAGACCTATCCCCAGATTTCTCCCCCGGCTGCAGGAAGCTCTGCAAAGTCCCCCCCCCCCTCCTTCACCCATCGCTCCTCAGCTGCAGGGGAAGGGATCCCTGTACAGGGAGCTGCTCCCCCATCTGCCCAACACCTGTGCATCCAGACCCCCCCTCATACCCAGATCCTCTTGCTGAGCCTCACCACCCACACTTAGAACCCCCCCTGCTGAGCCCCACTCCCCCTGCACTTGGATTATCCCGATGAGCCATCTGCACCCAAATCCCCATCCCACTGAGCCCCACTCCCCCAGCATCTGGACTCCCCACTGGGCCCCCCACACCCAGACCCTCCTGCCAAACTATCACACACACCCCCACTGAGCCCCTACCATCTTCACCTGAACCCCCCTGCAGAGTCCCATTACCATCGCACTCAGAACCCCCCCAACAAGCCCCTGTGCATCCAGTTCCCCCCCCCACACGGATCCCCCACTGAGCCGCCTGCATCCAGATTGCCCTACACAGAACCCTTTCAACCCACACCTGGATTCCCCCATTCTAAGCCCCTTCACACTTGGATCCTGCCTTGCTGAGCCTGCCTGCCCACACCTGGTGTACCTGGCACAGATGGACAAGGCGCTGGGGTGTTTCTGGGGCAGGCCCGGTCCTTGCGCTATGTCAGGGTTGGGTGCAGCCTCACTGCTGAGTCCATGTCCCGGGGAGAGCTGCACAGTGATCTCCCATCTCTGTGCAGCCAGTGGCCTGTGCTCCCCAATGCCATGCTGGAGGCTCCTCATTAATTTGACAAAGTTTGCAGAATTTTAAAATATTGTGCGTAGAATTTTTATTTTTTTGGTGCCGAATTTTTTGGCACAGAATGCCCTCAGGAGTAAAGCTGATGGGAAACATGCTGGAAACTCCCCATTAACTCTGCTGAGAATTTACCCCTATATGTAATTAAAAGCATCATCATTGCAGTCAGAATGCTCAAAAGATACAACAGAACCAGAGACACGCTGTATTATTTATTTCTATAGGGGCATGATGCACTTTAAAGACCATAAGGATTGTCCCCCAAACCAATGTCCCAGACCTGAGGACCACTGAACTTGTGGGGGTGCTGCAATCTGAACCCCAACCCAGATCTGAATTGTACTGCTCATCCATCTCTAACAGATCAAACCAAACCCCGTAAACAATCTCCCAGACTGACGTTCAAAGAACAAATCCAAATTTTGTGGCCTAGGCCTATATTCAACAGACAGGCAAAGTCCCTGCCCCAAGTAGTTTACAATATAATCTTGCAGTCTTTACTTATAGGACCAATCCCATTGAATGCAATAGGACTATACCGGCAAGTAAGAACAACAGGATCAGGCCCTAATTTAGACAGGTTCAATATAAGTGATTTAGAAACGCAGATGCAGAATGCATCAGAGAGCAGGTGAGCACAGGCCAGTTAGGCAAAAGGAGAGCGTTAAGGAGAGTTTTGAAGGTCTCTTGGTACAAGGATAGTAACAGGCTTTTTCCAAGCACGGGGAACTGGCCTACAGAAAGGCATTAAATCAAAAGCAAAGGAGACTGGTATTATAGTGAATCTGATAAAGAACATAGCTGAGAAAATGTCAGTGGCTTGTGGATTAGCACTGTGGTTATTTACAGGCTCTAAATTTGAGCATTTTTTTGGGATTAGCACCTGTACAACCCAAGATGGGAGAGGCAGCTTCAGGTTATGATATACAGAACTATCCACACTCTGAAAAAACAAAAAACTCATCAGCTTTCCTAGGGCCTTTTTCTTCTAAGAGCGAGACAGCATTTTCTTCCCTTATTTACTGGCCAGTTCTTCAGAGGCACCGTACAACAAGCACAATGCTTATTGACAAGGATTATTTATCTGCATTTCCTGCTAACTTGACTCTCAGGACACTGCTAAAGACTGCCACCTTGTGGTAAGATCCCATAACAGCAGGTTTCCTGGCAGATGAAAAAAGAGTCCTAATAAGTACTTAGACTTCCTTAGGCCTGAGATAGGATCAGGGCCAGCACAGTGTCCTCCCACATGGATATCCAATAAGGCTCCACGTGGGCGCAAGGGTCTGCCTGACCAGACTGACTGCAGGATCAGGGCACTAAGTAAGACATTGCTTTAAAAAAGATCTCCTTTGCACCGCTCCGAACGACATTTCATTTTCTTCAAGCTAATTATAAACTGCTTATTTATAGCCTTAATTTGGTTATAAAATAAGAGCTTTCAAAATTTTAAACCAAGAGGTAAAGAAAAAGTCCCCCCACTGC